TGTTTTTTTGAATTTTCTTTAATAATAAATAATCTGACAATAGAACCTCTGCAAGTGAAACAGTAGTTTCATTGCATACTCTTGAGGTGAGAAATTTTTTTAATTTTTGCTAAAAGTATTAGAGTCAATTGAGAATAATTTTCAATAATTAATTATTTGATAAATTTTTAAGGCTTATTGGATAACACAAAATTAAGTTGGTACCATCTTTCGATGGGCGTTGTAAGGGTGTTATAATCTTTCTCACACGTAACTGTACTCCTGAACCTATTTTGGTTAGTAGACCTAAACTATTCTTTTAGGAACCCTTAGGCTTAGGTGTTTCCTTAAAATGATATATTCTTTAAGTGGTCAATCGCACCTAAATAAAAAAAGATTGGTGATGACTCTTTCAAATCAATATCTAACGATAAATTTTTGGATCTAAACGTTAAGACAATAGTAACAAATGACTTGGTAGAAATTGAAATTGTAGTAGTTAGTAGTACCCTCGAATGTACCCTATTGCCTTATGAACTTCGTTAGCATCTTTGAAATTTGGATGGACAAATAGTTAGCATTGTCCTCTCTCTATATATAAAAAAAGTCAAGGTGTAACGTAATTAAAGAAAGAGAATTTGTTAAGTACTACGAATTGAATTTTCATTTTGCTTGAATCGATTTCTTTAAGGAAGTAGATGAAATAATATTTGAACTAAATCCTAAGCTTGTTATGAGTGTCATTTTTATACCTAAAATATAGGAATAAGAATAATTGCAGTTACTACAATTTAATTTTAGTGTGTATTAATTTTAATTACATGAAATATTCCACCAAATTGTTTCAATGAGAAATTAAAAAAAAAAGAAACAAAACAAAACAAAACGTTCTCTACGTTAATTTTTTAATGGCTGCTTGTGACTTGTGATGATCACAAAAATTTTTGTTCTCGTTTTGATAGTTGGAACAAATTATGAATAATTATTATGTTATACTACTAAATTTACAACATTTTATCATGCTTATGCAATCCTAGTTAAGTGAAAGAAGAATAAGAAAGGCCAACTTTGAGAAAAAAATTTCAAAGTACTTAATAGTTTCCCAGAGGAGACTGGGAAGTAAAATTGACTAGTGTTCATACATATATATATATATATATATTTGCATTCAATGAATACTTGATTCATTTTTCCAGTTTCGACACTAGCTAGCTGGAAATCAAAGTGGCTGAGGGGGTAGTTGAGGCATGGAGTTTTGGCTTGGTAACGACCCTAGTTGGACTGTTCTTAGATTGTAAGCCATGCCTGTTATTCATTTCATAAACGACCCTAGTTTCAAAGCATAATTGAACTATATGATTGCGAAAATCAAGCATGATTAACTGAATCACGGTAAAAAAATAAAAGGCTATTCTTCTTTCCTGTTTGAGCCTTTTTGGAAGATTACGAAGGAAAAGAGTGAAATAGGAATTACTTGAAGGGGAAAAAAACTCGTAAGGCTGTGTTTTTAATTTTCTTTCTTTGGCTTGGTGCAGGAATTGAAGAGCTACCCCTGTTTCCTCATAATTGAAGAAGCTGTGAGTGTTAATGTATGATATTAATTGATTTAACTTTTTCTTAATTTTTCCTTAATTTCCAAAAAATAAATTATTTATGTTATTACGTAACAAGTATTAGGTATATATCATTCTCCTTTTTACGTATGCAAGACAAAAATATGATTTGTATAATCTTCAAAAAGAAAAAAAAAAAACATAAATCTGTTTAATACTATAGCTTTTCTTCTTTTTTTCTTTTTTTTTTTATTGGTTGCCGGGGGGGGGGGGGGGAGTTGAGACTTGAGACAGAACCTTATTATTTGCACATGTCAGAAAATCCTACAGTCTCGAGTTTGCTCTATCAAGAACCAAAGGTAGTAGGGTGAATTTTGGGATTTCAAATCTGGTCAATAAACCAAAGAGATGATTCCCAAGTAAATTCAGTTTCTGGTGAATTCCTAACCAAAGAAAGCATGTTTTCTTTTCCAATTGAGTCAGAAAAAGAAAAAAAAAAAAAAAAAGCTGCAGCAGTCAGAGGAAGGTTCATGTTTTCAATTGAAGTGAAAGGCTGTAGTTGGGGATTATGACTGCAAAAAAAAATTGATTAATGTCTACTTTGCTTAATAATATGGTGGACCAAAGTTATACTTAACCCCCTTTCCTTTCCAATCCCAGGTCGCTGAAACCTGATAGGCCAACATGGAATCCTGGTGAAATCTAAGGCGATCCACTAGTTCACAAGGTTTTGTTTTTCTACAAAAAATGGATAGGAGAATTAAAGAAAGAATTATAAATATTAAAATTTAAATCTTTAAATTTATTGAATTTTATCTCTTAAAGATGACTATATTAAATAATTGGACCACATCTTGAGTTCAAAGTACATGTTTTTTATATGAAATGTCAACATTTTATTCGAGTTCCAGGGCCTGGTTGTGGTCCATTTGAACCCCAATTTTTTATTTTTAACAGTTAGGTCAGGTAAATGAAAAGTGAAAACACTTCTATCAGATAATGATTATACTTTCCTGGTTTGCGGTCCTGTAATTCATGCTTATTGCCCTTCGAAAGTGGGCAATCAAATTGACTTATTATTCCCAAACAAACAAAAAAATCAAATAACAAAAGCAAGTGGGGCGGATATTGATATATATTCCTATCACTTTCTATAAAACTACTATATAAACAGTTTGAAATTTGAGGTCAGAAAACATGAAAATCAATGACGTTATAGTGATGCTAAAACACGCAATCCTTCACCCATTATCTTAGATTTTAAGTATAATTATTTTGAGTAAATTATAAAATCAATCTTTTTAATGACCTTGTTTTTCATGCGAAACGAAAAATATCTAAACGAATAAAAAATGGTGAGATGAAACCGTCAATGGTTCCGACGTCTTTGGCAGAGAGCGATGCATGATGCAAGTAAGGTCTTGCATCAAATCTCTCACCTTTCAGTGCTGAATATTGCAGCCTCAGATTTTTTTTTTCTTTGTTTTTCCCTCATTAACTTTTTAAACATGATTAGCCAAATACTGCTAATAGCAAAAAGTTTGTCTAGAAATTGAAGATACACAGAATAAATTATACTAACATTTAATAATGATAATCAACACAAACATAGTAAATGTTTATTAAGAATAAGGGATAGAGCTTTTATTATTATTATTTAGTTCGAGATCCCTTTGAATATTAATTCATCTATGTTGAAAAAAATTTAAATTTCATACAGCCGTAAAATTTTTAAACTTAACGAGTAGAATTAAAAATAAAAATTATCATTTTTTTACTATATTAATTTTTAAATATACCTTTAAAAAGCATGTATAACCTCTAATCTCGTTGGTGAAATGTAAAAAATCTATCAATGATATATTAGATTGTCGATATTGCTAATATATACATAATACAATCTTCATCAACTTGCATAACCTGTTATCTTAATGTGAGATTAAATGATTCAATCAATGGTCCCTTTATGAATTTAATTAGTTTAGATATTTCTTTTTTCTTTTTGTTGTTGGATTTGATTGACAATTAAATTTCTTTGCTTAGTAGGCAAAAAGATAAAAGAAAACTGCTTACGACTATTTAAATGAGTTCCATTGGCCTCCAAGATATTTGAATGGCCTTTTCCACCGAAGTTAAGCAGTCCTTATTCTCATCATCATCATCATCATCATCATCATAAATGTTAGGCGTCTCCATTTAATTTTGCCTCTAAAATACAAATAACTTGTTTTCAAATAGGACAAATTTTCAATTTAAAATATTTTCTTCAATGACATAATAATATATATATATATATATTAGGAACATGTATTTTTCTCCATTATTTATTAGAGTTTAGGTAAAAGGTATAATCTAATAATAATTTGATAGATTTTCAGGGTTATTTAAGTCAAAGTTGAATTTCAGTAAAACTTGTGTTCTTGTGATATATACATAAATTAGGCTTGTAATATTGTTCTCTGTAGGAGAGATGACATGGGTTTGCTTTCCTTGTTGAAGCAATTTCAACCTCGAAATTTGGGGTAGAGAGATAACTGCCAAACTAAGAGTACGAAAAAGAAATGAGAAGAGAAATTTTATTGGCACACACACATGGAAGTTTGTTGAAAAACAATTAAAAAGTAACATATGAATTAGATAATTTAATTCAATTAATTTATATAATTATTTTTACGTATGATTACAAATATTAACATGTTAAAATATTTTTATTTTACATTTTTTAAAATTTCAAAAATTTTCATCCAAATACACTCTAAGATACCTGCCAAGTAAAATAAATCATCCTATTTTGAGATATTTCTTACATTAAAGCAAATCGAGTAATATGTAGTTCTAATTTTCATGTGGTACTAATTTTTTTTCCAATTTTCATAACAGTTAATTGTATTTCAATATAAGTTTGACAAAAATTGAAAAAAAAAAAAAACTCAACAATTTAGTTAATACATTAATTCTACTAAGAGTCTTTTAAAAAAATATTTTTATTAATAAAAAATAATTTTTTCAAGGATAAAATAAGATGAATTTATTAATTAATTTGATAAATTTTTAGGAATGTTTAACTGCTTTTAACACATTTTGGAGTTGGTACTTTATAAAAAAAAAAAAAGGATATCCAACTGTTTGTTGTTATGCCTACATGAAAACTTCAAAGAATTGGATACAATTTTTTCTCAAATATTAAAAAAAAATGAGAGAGAGAGAATTAATTCTCTATTAACCCTCAAACACTGAACCTAGCTGGAATACTGTGTGAAAACTCGGTTCTTTTACCTAATCAAATCATATCCTTTGCAATACATTCCTGGCTTTTTACTTAGTTTCTTATAAGAAAATCTTATTTTCAATTACATGCAAATAAAAATATTTTATATTAAAATATCTTGATAGATACATAAAAAAAAATAATTTAGTTGTTAGAAAAATAAATAAATAGTATAATCCACGTTGAGCATTTTTTTGTTGCAGGGTCTTGGCCAAAAACCTGTATAAAAAGCGCATAATATCTGACAAAAAACCAGCAACATTCAAAGAGTTGCAGTTTTATAAACCCATATTGATCATGTCTGTAAAACAAGCCATGGAATTTTCTCTCATACAAACCATGGAACCATTACCCATGGCCCTTCTTTTCGTCATCCCTTTCCTACTCCTTGGCCTCATCTCTCGGCTTCGAAGAAAACCATTTCCTCCAGGGCCCAAAGGGTTGCCAATCATCGGAAACATGATGATGATGGACCAGTTAACTCACCGTGGACTTGCCAAGCTTGCTCAGAAATATGGCGGTATATTTTACCTCAAGATGGGGTTCTGGCACATGGTTACTATTTCTAATCCTGAAATGGCTCGCCAGGTGCTTCAGGTTCAGGACAACATTTTCTCCAACAGGCCAGCCACCATCTCCATCAGTTATCTAACATACGATAGAGCTGATATGGCTTTCGCTCATTACGGGCCTTTTTGGAGGCAGATGCGAAAACTGTGTGTAATGAAGCTTTTCAGCAGGAAAAGAGCCGAGTCATGGGAATCCGTAAGAGACGAAGTGGATTCACTCGTTAAAGCTGTTTCAGCCAACACCGGGAAAGCAGTAAATGTGGGTGAGTTGATCTTTAACCTCACCAAGAACATCATTTACAGGGCAGCCTTTGGTTCTATATCGCAAGAAGGGCAAGACGAGTTTATCAAAATCTTGCAAGAGTTCTCCAAGCTTTTTGGTGCTTTTAATATTGCCGATTTTATTCCTTGGCTCACCTGGGTTGATCCTCAAGGACTCAACACCAGGCTCGAGAACGCTCGTCACGCATTAGACAAGTTCATTGACACCATCATCGACGATCATATCCAGAAGAGGAAGAAAAACAACAACTGCTCTGATGAAGGTGACACCGACATGGTTGATGATTTACTTGCTTTTTACAGTGAAGAAGCCAAAGTAAACGAATCGGATGATCTACAAAATTCCATCAAACTCAGCAGAGACAACATCAAAGCTATTATCATGGTATGCTCCCTTCTTCACATGTACTACTACTTTGATTCCACTACCAACAAAAAAAATGGCGATTTTCATTTTATTTTCTCAAAAACGAGAAGGGGGGGGGGGGGGGGATTTTTCTTTTCCTTAAAATTAGAATCGTTGGCATTTATATTGATAAATGATATTTATCAGAAATCAACTGGTGGCTTTGGATGTATCCATTTCTAACCTTTATACCAACCATTTTCACGTCCCTACAAGATCAAGTTACCCCTTTTTTTTGGAAAGGCTACAAGATCAAGTTACTTAAATACGAAATATTATGTTTCTATAGTGCTGGATTGTTAAAATATGTACCGAGTTAAAAGTGATTTTCAGGACGTGATGTTCGGTGGGACAGAAACAGTGGCATCAGCGATTGAGTGGGCCTTGGCAGAGCTGATGAGAAGCCCAGAGGATATAAAAAGAGTCCAACAGGAGCTGGCTGAGGTGGTGGGCCTCGACCGCCGTGTGGAAGAGTCCGATTTCGATAAACTAACCTTCCTAAAGTGCACCCTTAAAGAAACCCTCAGGCTCCACCCCCCAATTCCCCTCTTGCTCCACGAAACCGCCGAGGATGCTGTAGTGGCAGGCTATCAAATTCCCGCCAAGTCGCGAGTGATGATCAACGTCTGGGCCATTGGCAGAGATAAGAATTCATGGGAAGATCCAGATACTTTCAAGCCATCCAGGTTCTTGAGAGAAGGTGTCCCGGACTTCAAAGGTAGCAACTTCGAGTTCATTCCGTTCGGGTCAGGTCGCAGGTCATGTCCGGGCATGCAACTCGGGTTATATGCACTTGATTTGGCTGTGGCTCATTTGCTTCACTGTTTTACGTGGGAGTTGCCCGATGGAATTAAGCCGAGTGAGCTTGACATGAGTGATGTGTTTGGACTCACTGCACCTCGGGCGACTCGACTCTATGCCGTGCCAAAGAAACGCCTGGTTTGTCCACTCTTTTAAAGGAAAACGAACAAAAACAAAATCCATTTGAGACTTAAACTGCAGCCTATACAAAAGAAAACAGGGAAACCATTGAAGGAAACGGTGACAAAGGTGACTTTACAAGTTGGATTTTTGTTTTTTTCATTTTATACTTTGGGAAAGAGGCAAGATTTCAAGAACAAATAACCGAAAAGAAAAGGTATACGAGAGAATTTAGATTCTCTCCTTCGCTGTGGATAAGACTCTTTTCATTTGAATTATGTTGAAAATTGTCTATCTTTTTTTTTTTTTTTTTTAATTTACAAGATTTAATAAACATTGTGAAAAAAAATCTTTTATTTGGATCAAAGCATTAAAAAATGAAAATAATGCTTCTACTATTGCACAATGTATCACAAGTGCCAATTAATTTTGCTTTCTACTTATTTCTGTTCTCTTCTTTTGTATAGTAAAATAATTTTCATTTGTTTACTCTTGTTTAAGGCAAGTTGAAATATAAAGAGTTGTCAAAACCCTTATAAGTAACCCATGAATCATGCACAATCAGCTCTCATTTTATCAATAACATATATAAATTAGCTCTCTTGTTCATAATTTTCATCGTTGTCTTTGGTTTGTTCATATTTATGATGGTAGCTAATTGTTAAAACATGTAAACTCCATCAACTCAAAAGTGAGATATATATAGAACTAATTGTTTGATTAAGCGAGTGATACATTTGATAATCAAGGTGTATATAAACATGATGATTCAGTCCACACATATGAGTAGCCAAGAATTTCTTCAAGGTAGTGCTATATGTAAAATGAATAAGCTATTATTAAATTTACTCCGAACAATAATAAGTAACCAATTGACAAGCCAATGGATGCCCAAAAATATAAAAAGGCAAATTGTAATTGGTGCATGTTGAAATTGGTTCGTATCATGGGGGGTCATGTTCCCACGTTCTACAATGCAGGCATTTTTTGCTCTTTGGCTATGATCCACTTGTTTTCTCACATACTTTTAGAGAGAGAGAGAGAGAGGCTTAGTATTGCTGAGCGAATTTTAGGTGGGGTGAAGTGGACATGAGGCCTTGCATTTATAACCTTTCTTTATAACAATAATGATTGAAAATTACAGCGTGGAACATATAATTGTTATTGGTAACATCTTTAGTCCGATATATTTGACAAATTATATTTTATTATTTTTTATCGCTCTTTAATTTCTACCATCAATCTTAAATTATTCAAAATATAGAGAAATTGTTACCTTGGATCATTTTTCATCTCTTTATATTTATCTTTCTTTCCAATGTCGAAATTGTTGTCCAACTGATAATCTATCATATCTAATATGTAAATAATAATAATAATAATATTAGTATTATTATTATTATTATTATTTCCCGACTAAATTTTTTTAAAAATTTTAAAGTTTTATGTTCAAATTTCATTATACATAAATTTGGTTTAATTTTATATTAAATTTATTTAATTATATTCTACTTTATTGAATAGTTAATTTATTTAATTATTCAAGGGTAATAATAATAATAATAATACTTGTATTAATATTTAAGGAGACATTTGGATTCCAAAAAAAAAATAATTTTTTAAAATATGTAATACTCGATATTTTTTTTCATTTTCAAATATCTTATATTTAAATTCATTCATTTTGTTTGAAAAAATTCACATATATTATTTGAAAAAATTAACTTACATAAAATTTTTTTATTTTTTTAACATTAATTTTATTAGATCTTAAGAATAAGATTAAAAAAAAAATTTTCTCTTTTTCACTTGTTTGTCTCATCCTTTAAATCTATTTAAATTAACAATTAAAAAAATATAAAACTTTTTAATTTTAGACTTACATAAATTGATCCCTCTCATCATATATATATATATATATATAATTTGAGTTGTAAATGTTTTTGGCCCATTAAATATTTAACCATGCAATTAAAATCCATAGAAAGAAAGTAAAAGGGAAAAATGAAGAACAAGCAAAGCAGATTGATGCAGCAGAAATCAGGATGAATTTCGCCATTTACGATTATGACTTTCAATTAATTAAGGTGTAAATATAAATCAATATCTGTGAATCGGTGATAACTTAGTAGTCTGTTCCTTAATAACAACGCAAAATTTGAACCCAAAATAAATAAGATCCTACCTCATTTTCTGTGTGGGTCTCTCCAAACAACAAGATATAACGAAATGGCGTTGGAAGTCAAACTGGACACTGGATAACAATTTGACTTCCAACGTCATTTCATTATATCTTGCTGTTTGGAGAGACCCACACAGAAAATTAGGTAGGAAATTATTAATGCAATTCAATACAAAGAGAAGAGGTAAAACTGTGGTAGAGAGCTGACTATGGGGGACGGTAGGCTGAGTTGGTGGTGAGCATAACTAGTTCACAATTGGGAATAAATCGAGGAATCATTAAATGACAATAAGTCAATAATCATGTGTGATCTCAAACTAAAATTTTAATTTTTTTTATTTTACTGATCAAGGTTCAATCCTGTATAATCTCAAGATAAACAAAAATGATGAAGGTCAATCATGTGAGAAGGATTCTGCTTGACAGCAAATATGAGGCCTTAGTTTTTGTTTCTTGATCAGTCTATTAACAGGATCCAAATCTCTTAAGCATAAATAAATGACACTTGAGCACAAAAAGGTCAGCAGTTTCTACCATAACATAGAGAAAAAAAAAAAAAAAAAAGGAGATGAAATTATAGATAACCACAGCATTTTGGCGTAGAAAGCAATTTCTTACTCCTGTTTGTAGCAATATCTTCCTTCTGCATCTAAAAGAATTTGGTAAACAGATCCTGCTATTTAACCGAATTAATCAATTCATATATATATATATATATATATATATAAAATAAATCATGATCAGAATGACAAACCAACAACTCTATATATCCGGTGATCCTGGTGATGATATCAAAGAAAGACAATAGTATGTCAGTAGGATTTTTGCATATTCTTAGGCCACCAAAATCATCTATCTGCCTAATCTGTGCAAGTATGAGCAAACTGCAATAAATAGAAATTTAGAATTGAAAGTAAATACCTAGATTATATACTAAAGTAACTAAACCAAAGTGTAAGAAATTGTTTGGATTTTACTCAGAAAGTAGAAAATGCTCCATACTAACTATACTATGCTAAAGGTCAAAGAGTAAGCATTTATCCATATACCAACAGCTTCAAAATCACCTCAGTTGTTCATCATGCATACCTTGCACGAAAAGCAACTGCAAGCATCCAATCATTCAAAGAGTAAGCATTTATAAACCTTCCAGCCACCACCATCTGCAAAAGACCCCAAGTAATTAATCAGTATGTTCTACGGATGAAAAGCATATATAAATGGAAAATACCTTTCTAGCAGCTTCCCAGTTCTCGCCTTTAATTGAAATGGATGCTCCAAGAAGAACAACTCTTTTCTACAAGTTCAGCTGCCAACATACAGTACTAAAGCCTTAGGATATAAAACCACTACAGCAAATTAAAAAACCCATGAGAGGATAGATAGGTTGTCGTCACCATTTTGTTCAGTCTCATACAAAGACCTGAAGACACCTAAAATCACTCATGGTCCAAGTGAGTAACCAATGAGTGTAACAGGCCTGAAAGATTCGTACGATCCCAAAGATGAACATTGGAAAGATCATTTTGCAGAAGTTTTTATTTCAATGAATAACAATATTCACCTAAATGCCACATGTATACCTGTTACCTTTTGTAACCTTTCAATAAAACTTCAGCTAGCAGCTTTCCTATTTTATCCGCTCTAGAAAATGGAACAAGATAGGGACATGGTTAGACACATGTAGCATACTACAACAGTTCCTAAGTGTTAAGATAGGAATTAAATGTCTTAGTTAGGTGGGAACTCAACATCAGATACATCCAGACCATATATTTAATAAGATGTTTAAGGAATTTAATTTGCAGAAAATTTTGGTTCATAAAAGATAAAACCACTTTCACAGTTCATCAAAAGAAACATTTAGTCAAACCAGGTAATATGAACATTTTTCTATAGCATTAACCACCTTGACATTCTGTTTAGAGAGACCTGAAAATTATAGCTTTTTCTCTCCTAAGATTGTGCTATTTTGAGTTTGGCACAAACCTAAAGAATTCAATGTAAACAATAAACTACTAATATTCACACTCTATAGTTGTATAACACTTACATTTTTTTCCCATTTTACTTAATATGAGGTTACTTCCTTACCCTCAAGTTCCTTGCTTGGTTCTCTTGAAATCATTCTCAAGGGTTATCAACCTAGCTGCCCAATTCTAATAAATAACAGAATCAATCACTAGCTACATCTAGTACTTTTAAAAACTTTAACCAAAGAATGCCTCTCATAAGGATGACAGCAATAGACCTCTAAAATATTGCATGCTACAAATCAATAAAAGAAAGTGGAAGATAGTTCTTCCCTTTTTCACGGCCAAATACTCTTTTAAAGCTCAATAGCAAATACAACCTGTCCATGGCAATTGTCTACGTGCTGTCTATAAAGTTGGTAGCTACAAGTAATGCTGCTGGCCATGCCAATGCCATTAAAAGTGAGCTTAAGACTGTCATCATTACACCTTGCCTCATTAACTTCTTAGCAATTCCTGCAGCAACTAGAAGCAATGTTCAAATACAGACTATTCTTATGATCAAAATACTATTTTAAAAATCAGATGCAAACCCATTACTTGAAGTTAGCCAATCCTGAATGGCGGTACTCACTGCAATCAGATTCTTGGACTCCCACTGCTGCACAAACCTAAAATCTTCCTTGGCAAAAGCTACATTACTTCTTTTCTTTTCTCTCTAGGAAATGTTTTAAAAAGAAAAAACAGAGTTTTCAATATAGTGGATCATAGTACAAAATTCTGTACCTCTTCACGTTGTCAATTCGCCCTTCCCAAGGCCTGATAAAATCTTCCTTATCAAAAACGAATCCAGAGATCAAAATCTCAACTGCTAGTCGCTGAAAGATAAGTTAAATCAGAACAAAAATCTTGAGATCATTAATTAGATTCGAACACCATAGATTCCTATGTCCCCGGAAACAGAAAAGAATGATGGAAGTCTATAAGAACTCACGCTGTGGTTGTGTTAGTCTGCAATAGCTTTAAATTAAAATTCATCAATGCTTCAAATTCTCCCAGCCATTTTAGTACCAGTATGTCCAGCTCCAGCACCTGGGTTGAACAGAGTGTTAAAAATATACAAATAACGTATACGAAGACTTCTTCAGAATACTATGTACCAAACATATCCTGGATATATATTAGTATAAAATTTCTCAAATCATAAGCATAACAAACTAAAACTACGAATGAATCCTGCAGGAAGGAAAATGAGACGATAAGGATGGTTTAGGGCTTGGGAGATTCCTGATTAGTCATTCACCTCCAAATGATGCATCAACAGCAACAGAACCTGCAACAGTTCCAGCAGCACTGGCGGCTGCAGCAAACCCACTTGCTCCAATCACGGGGATTAAAGCACCTAATTTAGGAGCTAGGGCACTAAATCCTGCAGCAATTGCTGGGGCAGCTAACCCTGTTGAATGCTAAAATGATGAACCAAAAAGGTCAAAAACATTAAAGTCATAGTCATGAGAAATTTGTTTCCAGCGAAAATCCAATGTCCTGATAAAATGGTTTGACAATCACATACCACCAGTAATGGCCATTAATGTTTCTCCAGTTAATGCAGCAGCACCAGTTGTACCACAATGCTTCCATTTCGCCCATTTGCTTTCCAATGACAGGGATTCTTCTTCATTTGCTACTTTCTCTTTTGCTAAAGCCATTGCAAAGTAAGCAACCATCATATCAATGGCTTCCTGTAAGAAGAAATGTTAACAGAACGAAAATAGTAAAAAATTCTATAACTACTGCAACTAGACCAGAAAGATGGTTGACACTCCACGTCAAAACACATGCTATTAGATTAGAGAGGTCTCAGAAATCTTCTCTGATGGTCTAGGTGGACAAATGAGGACAATCAGGAAAAGGATTTTTGAGAATGTCATTAACGGTGTACAAAACTTTAAGTACAATTGATATCTGACAAATACTCAAAATTACATAGAAATTAACATCAATGCCTACCTATTCAGTTATTTCTCTTTCTAAAACGACATCTATAATACAACCCGAGTTTGAAAGGCTGATAGAAAAAAGGGATAATAGGTTGAGTTCACAAACCATTTTTATCCACTCAACATCAAAACAAGTTGCCAGCAATCGTAAAGTCACACAATGTCAAGCATCATAGCCATTTCTTCACCGGGTATATCTTTTGTTATCTTCACGAGTATCTGCAGCTGCGAAACAAGCTGAAAGAAGCTCATAAAGAACCATCACTTTCCTCTGATAACTAAGCATCCCAACCTCTTCAGCAGGTTTCTCATCCAAACTATAACTCACGACATGAAGGTCAATATTCCCATGAAGCACATTAGTATCGCTCTCCTGTGGAGTCTTGTCTGTTGGTTTGTCACCACAGAATTTGATGGTACCTCAGTGGAAAATTTCTCACAATATTCATGTTCATATTCATGATGCTTCTCTTTTTAAACCTTGGAATATTCAGAATTTGTTTCCACGCCAAGTGCCAATAGTATCAACAGCTTTTGACAAAGCAGCCTCCTTATTCTAACTTTCAGAAGAACCCTCCCCTCTTTCTTCAGCTAGTAACCTCAAGAACTGTAACCATACAAAGTAAAATGATGTTTAAGCGTAGACAACAAGAATCATTGAAACATTGCTCACATTTCTGCTGCAAATGCTCATAAACACGAAAGCAAATATGTACACGCGTATGCAACCAGGAAGAGAGACGAGAGGAAAACAACAACATACAGCTCCAACATGATGTTTGGCTGGAGAAGACCCAGCAGTTTCTTCAAGTCCAAGCCATGCTGCAGAGTCAATATCTAGAAATCTGACAAATATGAATTACAAATAAATATTTAAAAAAAAAATCATAGAAATTCTGAAATTTGAAATGCCCGAAGAAAGAACTCGAGTTCCTAAAAATTGATCACGTTCGAAGTCAAGAAATCAAAATAAAATATATAAAATTCATACCATGAATTCAATTTCAGTTATCAAAAGGAAAAGAAAAAAATGAAGTACCTGACAATGGGTCGGAGCAGACCCGAGTTTTCGTGGACCCAAAGTTCGGGGAGACAGAGTCGCAGCTGCTACTACTACTTGTTCGCTCCTCAGAGGCAGGGTCATCATCCTCAGAGGGAAGTCCCAGTAGACGAGTCTGATGGATCTGAGCCTGGTGGACAGCGATGGCGAACAATGTTCCCGCCGCGTACCTTTGCGTCGGCGTCAAAACGACTCTGTTTTGGTAGCCATGCCTGACGAACAAGGAGAATTTTCTAACTCACTCAAGCTCCCAAAGCAATTTCATGATCCTCCCTGTTGAATTTCTGTTATTCAGTTTCTAAATTAGAAAATTTTCGGATTTTCTTTCACCGTTAATGAGGCTTTGAAAATTTTGTTTTTCTCAACTTTGAATTGAAACGTTCTTGGTAGGTTCGATAGTCCGGGGTAGGTCAGGGTCTGTTTGGGATTAAATAGCGCCATATTAGAGGCCTAACATTAACCATACGCTTTACTTAATTAGAAATTTAGATACATTAATATAGAACTGCCTAATGATAATTGATAACCAAGGGTCCTTTATATTCAAAAACCTGGCCTATCCAGAGCATAGAAATAATATGTATTATGCCCAGCTTGAATGATTCCGTTACAGGTTTAATTGGGAGAATTAAGACTGCAAATTCCTAATACGAATAATGAATACAGAATTACATGCACACAAATTGCTGTGGTAGTAACCGAATCAAGGGTGCCAATAACGACATGATGCACCCTTCTTGCAGTACCCGTTTTCATAAAATTTACAGACCCGCTGCCCTTTCAGCGGAGGCCTGAAAGAACCAACTCTATTTGGACCACCGTAAGAGTACGACTGCCTATTCACTGAGGACCTGCCCCTAACAAAACTTGAATCTCTCCCCTGAAAATCACGCTCCCTCTGACCAGCATACCTTTGTTGCCCTCCCCAATATGGCGGATTCGCTGCCGAAGTGCCTGAGTTGATGCTGCCATTTTCCTGGAATGTTCCCTGACCTGTTCCCCAATTAACACTCGTGGTTTCTTGACCTAAACATCCCCAATTAAAATTTGCATTTCCTTGAACTGTTCCCCAGTTGGTGCCCGTAGTTTCTGGACCTGCTCTCCAAGCGGTATCTACGGTAGCCATGCCCCAAGTTGTTACAGTTGATGCAGGAGGCTGCATGTCCGAACCGGCTTCATTTTGATTAACTGAGACATCGCTGGGCCTTTTATCTTCATCCATTTCAGCACTTGTGGAAGAATGCCCGCCAGAACTCTTTTTAGCATCAAGAACTTGGGACTGAGAGACCCCAAATGGCTTATTCGTCACAGTTGACTCAGAAGGCATTTGTAGATCATTTGTTGAGCTCAGAGAATCGCTTTTTCCTGGATCAGGTGCAGGGCTCAGTCCTCCTACAGGACTAAAACAATCAGGGTCAGAACCTTGAGCCAACTCTCCATCACTATGCAAAATTGATGTAGGTGAAGACAAGCCATTAAGAGACTCCATCGCTTCAACTTCAGCCAAAAGATCTGAAACTGATTCATCACCCCAAGAAGAGTCATTTGGCTCGGGAACAATTGAATCCCAACCAGATGCATTATTTGCAGGATCTGTGGGAGAAAAATGTGTTAATTGGCCACTTCCAGAAGTTGGAGTAGCAACATGATCACTTCCCAATACAGTTGGTTTCAAAGAAGATTCAGGCACAAGATTTGAATCCCATTCCTCTGCAGAAGGTTTCACCTGAGTGGAGGAACACCCACCCCATTCACCAGCTATTTCAGGAAGCTGTGGTCCATTACCCACTAGACTAGAAGCGGTACTCCAACTAGGACCTGAATCCTGATGAGGAACATTCGAAGAAAGAGACTGTTTGTTTTCAGTAGCCTGACTTTTGGAGTCTTCGAGGTTCAACTTTGATGTTGAGGTGGGAATATCTGGGAAATCAATATCCTGATTGTGTTCTGACGCTTCAAGAGCCCTAGCCAGAGATATAAGACCAGAATTGGAATCCCATCCATTTGAAGCATCATTTAAAGGTGTAGATCTCCAGCTTTGCCCACAAGATTTGCCTGATCTTCCCTCACAATCATCGTGCTCCACATTTCCAGCAATAATTTGACTTTCAGGGGTCTTGTTCAAATTCTCATTTATGTTCATCAAACCACAGTCCCATCTTTCAGCCCCGTGACCTTTGCTAAATTGATGAGACTGAGTTTCAAATGGTTTCCCAGATAATGTAGATAAGGGAAGTGAACTACTCACTTGGGGCTGGCAAGGGAAGTCATTCTCACCATTCACAGAGTCCCAGTGTGGTAAAGGACTTCCTGCCTGTATTGCATTGGAAACAATTTCTACGGGAGCAGTAGAAGGAGAAGATTGCAAGGCCAATTCTTTGCTCTTAACAAATTCTTTGTTAACATAACAATGACCATTTGTATCATTCTGCATTGTGTTCCCCTCAACCTGTTTACTTTCCATCTGAGTCACATTCAGATCCATACTGTCCCTAACATCTCCATCCCCATTCTGACATCCATCATTAGAGACAATCATCATGTCCTCAGTTCGTACACAGCTGTTATGAAACAACTGTTGTGCTTGGTTGTACTGCCCATCCAAAACATCAGTTAAGAGAATGGAGTCTTTTTGCTTTTCACTTACTCTCCATATTCTCAAATCAGGAGGGAAATGACGACTCAGGCTCCATCTATGTAATGTTGCCATAGAAAATGGCCCTTGAATTTTCCCAAGTGGGTCTTGATAGTGCCATATTTTATCTGTCTCACTATTATTTACAGATAGCTCCATTCCTGTAGAATGCAGCGGTATGCTAGTTTCTCTGCTTCCTATATCACTTAAGATATCACCTCCCTTCAGTGGAGAGGCAGGCTCCTTTTCCTTAATACCAGAGCCAGAATTTCTTGATTTCATGTGGTTATCTACAAACACACCAGGCTAATTAGCACCAAAGAAACATGAAAAAGTATGCATATATACATATATGGCCAATACCAAATGGTTACGAACAATATTGGAAAAAAACAATACAAGAGAGAAGTTAAATATCTAAAACAGCTTACTACCTTTTTTCTTCTCATCCAACTCTCCAGCAACTTCCTCAGACTTGCAATATAGATTCATATTTCGATCACTGTGTACGTCAGGAATTTCATGCAGCCTACGCTGGCGTTCATCAGGTGAGTTCAGAAGCTGCAATTTTTCTATACATTCTCTGAACGTGCAACATGGTCAAGGAATACTTGATAAACTTGTTAACTTTTACTTGCCAACAGAAAGGCTTACAGTAATTGCAACTGCCATTATCATGTCAAGCGGTGTAACACAGCACCATAGCATGATTACTAAAAGAAATTTGAAATTTGAAAATTATAAAAAAATAATAATAATAATTGAGGCTAGGTTTAGAACTTGTGTTACAAGATTCCAGTATCCTCAGTTCCCTTACAATTTCTCAACCAAACAAAGCATAAAGTGGAATTTTAACACGAGTTACGCTTCATGGTACAATGCACCAACTAGTAAAATATGCAAAATATTTAGCAAACAATCACTGCCATAAAGAGCAAGCAATATAGTTGAGATAATAAATAACAAGATTGGATTTGAAAACACTGAGCCCTACATTTAAGTTTTTGATCATCTCCATCAACTTTGAATCTTAAGACTCTTAGCTTCTCCTTATCTTTTCAACAAACTCACTCAAGCCCCAAAAACTATTTCTTTGGATATTTACATGGCAGATACCTTCATAATTCCATATGATAAAAAGATGGAGGGTCAAAGAATGAGCTGTGAAGTAAGTGCATCAGGCAAGAGGTAGGGTGGTGTAACACCATATGAGGCCAAAACCAGAGACACATTAAGCTGATTTTGTAAGACAGAGGCCTATAATGAGGAATTGAAGAAGACTTGGGCATATTTGAAGGACTTTGCATTCACTGATCTTGCTAAGGGCATGATCTTAAATAGAGAATAATAGCATGAAAGGATCAAAGCAATGCTTAGGTTTATTGTTAGTTGTACATTGGTGACATATGTAGAGTAGAGGCATAGTAGAGAGAATAAATGGGTAAAAGAAAAAAAAAAAAAAAAGGGCTTAAAGCTAAGTATCATATCAAGCAATAAAGGATATTCTTTCATGTGTCCCTTCTCACTTGCTCGATCACGAAGATTTTTAACTCGCAAAATCTCCGACTCCAGCCACTGGTCAAAAAAGTAAGAGCAAATGCAAAAGAATCCTTCACAAACTACATTCAAAAGTTCTTTAAGGGTAAATAGAAAACATGTAACTTTATAAGAACACTAAACATCCTATCCCTTTCAAAGTAGCTACACGGTTATATCCTGAATATTTTATGTGCTGCAACTTTGCAGCTTAGGAACTTACGTCATTTACCCTCACTGCCTGAAGTGCCACTGCTTTCTCCTGAATCTCACCCTACAACAAAGCACAAAACTCCTTTTCAAATGACACTAAAATTGTCTTGGCAGAAGTAAAATGAACATAAGACACACTTACCACTGTAAACCATTTCATCAGCCCACATTTTATTCTCTCACGTAGACGTTTGCACTCATCCTGGTGTTATAACAAAAATATCAGAATCAGAAGGGAAACTTGTATACCTCATCCATGAAGGAAAGTTATGGCACAATACAAGATGGTCCACTGCCTGTCTAACTAAGAATGTGTATAAAGGATATCTATATAGATGAAGAACGTGTCAATAGCCTGTAGAGAGTGACCTTTTCCATTTAATGGTAAATAGTTCATAGATTTTACCATGTATTGTCTTTCCCACTTTCTTTTCAATTTTTGTTCTTCGAGCCTATACCAACCCACACAAGCCGTCAATTTTCCTAAGATCCTCATTCACCTCTGCCATTAAACCCTTAAGTATTTTAATCTATCTTTTAATCTAATTACGCCATTTTTTGCCTAGCTTAATATAATCCTCACTAAAAATCTAACCAAAAAAACCTAACACTTTGTCCCTTTTGTTTTAATATGGTCATAAAATCACGAAGTTAATGCATTAGACTTCCTTAAATGGAATTCTTGTCAATAAATGCAGGACCAAACATAGAAATTTAAATAAATTGAATCAAAGAAGAAATCACACAAAGAAAATTGAATTGAGGATGTATATTTAGGCACCTCAGCAAATTCCTGATTTGAAATTCCATCAATCGAGACAATCTCTTTCTTGTCTAAATTTAATATCTCAAGCATGATATCAGTTGTCCTTTCACCAATTTTATATGGTTCAACCACTTTGCTGGTACCTGCAAACAAACACATTGGTAGTGAATGTCTAAATAAACAAATTAAAAGGAATTCTACGAGCATTGATTATAAAAGTTAATACCTATAACTTGGACAAGTCTATACATATCTTGCTTCTGATCACTCCCGGAAATTTTTATCCTTACAAAGGAACCAACAACCTTGTCATTAAATTTGTCAGTATCATCAATTAAGTTCTCCATCAAATTACGCTTCAAGTAGATCAAGTTCATATTATGAACATCAATTGCAGCAAATTCATCTAGATTTGCCTTTTGTCCTTTCTCATCAACCTTTTTACGTGTTTTACGTCTCTTATTATTGACAATTAAAGGATGACTATCATTGCTCCCATCAATGGCCAATTGGGCAACAGCTTCACTACCTCCAGCTCTAATGGTATTGATGGGCCTTGAATGGTCTTGAGTGAGAAAGTGTGATTCAAGAAGCTTTAACATTTCAAAGTGGGCCACCCTTGCTTTTCCAAACAATTTTATAAGCATTGAATCACAGACAATGTAAGATTTCTGGCGAGGATCACGAAGATTGCTTCGTTTTACATACTCAAGCAAAAGCGCCTGAACATCAAAATGTGATAGCACAGATAAATCACCATGTTTCATGTGTGCCACAAATTCAAGAAGCTCCTTTGTTGCCCAATTTGTGCCTTCAGGCAAAAGCATCCCTTTCATAACACCCGGTTTTTCTGCTTCTAGAGATTCAACTTTGTTCAAAAACTTCTCTTTCTTCATGCCTTTTCTTCTCTTGGAATAACTAGCTCCTAGGTCTTCACAAGACCTTTCCATGTTAGCACCTCTAGCATTACTAATGTTATTAAGTTCACCTGATGACTCCCCCTTTGGATCCATGATAGCAGTTTCTTTCCAAGGGTTTTTAGCTTTAGTAAGCTCATCTAAACTTAAAGATAGCTTCTCTTTCAAGAAAATCCAATACACCTTGAAGAGATACTCCCAACTAGTTTGATCATCAAAATCCACTTGAACCTGCATAGTATAAATTAAAAGGCCTTTAAGGTAGACAAAAGCTCTCTGCTCTTCAATAATCTAACCACACCAATTAAAATAGTTACCAAACAAGGAAGCACAACTAATGGAAAAAAGCTATGAGACATTCAAAATGAAACCCATTGTATAAGGCAAAGTTAATAATACCATTTCCTTATTTTCTAATGTGCTGTTTTCAATCAGCACTACAGTTCTCATGCACATTCCACAGAATCCTTTATTTCCTCTTACATTCAGATAATCAGCATCTTTAGTGCAATTCTTGCACAAGGAATATGTACAAGTATAGCACATATAATATGAAGACTTCTGACAAGTGCTACATATATGCCACCCTGAAATGCAAGAAATTGAACACCAGAAAATTAATGAAACAAACAATGTAGCCATTGAAACAAAAATGATTGAGATAAAAATGTTAGAATAATAACTAATCGAGACGCAAGAGTCCAGGTCATTGAACAGACATGGACGCAACCATTCAATATGCACGTGGAGACAGCATGATATTAAAATTAAGATTAAAAAAAATAGTAACTTAATAACTACTCCAGAAGCAAGAATCCACATTAATGACTAACGTGAAAAGCCACCATTATTCAATAGGCACACATTAATGGTATAATATCTATGATAATTGAGATAAAAATAGCAGCCCAATAACTACTCAAGAACAATTAATCCAAACCAATGACAGACATGGAATGCTACCTTTTGAGACACATTTGGCAACAGTATGACAAAACAACAGTTAACTAACTGTGAAGCAAGAAAATAGAACATGATTCTAGATACCCAACAAATGCTTCAACAATTTCCCAGCACTTAAATTAATTAAACTGAAATGAATGCGACAAATGTCTATACGAAGTAACTAAAATGCAATATACCACAGTTCCATTTTGCCTTTGATTTAAAGAATGCCTCATCCCTTTTGATACAGGCTGGATGGTATGCCTTAGGACAGCCCCTGACAAGTAAAATCGCATACAATTAACCATGTAAACGACACAAATGCAAAAGAAAATGAATGCATAAGCCAAAAAAAAACAAAAGAAGATTAAAACTAAACCAACTATTGCCAAAAGAAGAAGACCATGAATTGCAATATATGAATTATTAGTACCGTGAAATAAACAAAAGATCAGTGGCATCGGCATACAACTATGCAACTTCCATATTTAACTGAAATTAACTCCAGTCCAAATTTGCCAAAATAAAGCTCAGATAAGCTCAATTGAGCAAAAGGTTAATAAATTTTCAGCTCAACTCAGCACAACGTTGAAGTTCAATCAAACAATAACTCTAGTTTTCACCTAATATCGGCCAATTAACTAAAACTTTCTTCCATTTCCTTAGATTTGCTTATCAACCAAACAGAAAAGAAAAACAAGATAAACAAAAAAAAATCTAAACTCACCGGCGATCACAAAGCACGAGACTCCCGCCATCGAAGCATATAAAGCAAACATCTTCTTCATCCTTCTTCTTCCTTTGAGGAGGTGGCACCGATGACGCCGTGGTTCTCACCTGATTCCTCGGCGGCCTTCCCCGCCTCCGCTTCCCCCCGCTCAACTCAACAACTTTGACTCCATTCAACGCCCCCGTCTCGGCTTTAGCACCAGCATCTCCTCGAACCTCCACGTCAGCGTTTCCAACGAGCTGCGAATCGTCCATCTCTGGAATCTTCTGGCATTGATCGACGCTCATGAACTCAACTCCTTGTAAAGAATCACGATTCAAACTATCACTATTATTACCACCACCATCAACGCAGCCGCCGCCGCCGACGTTGTCTTGTAAACAAGGCTTATACAGAGCCGTGGTGGATTCCACTTGTTGACAATTTTCCATGAAAAAATTTTTTTAAAAAATAAAAATTAAAAAAATATATATAGTACAATATATTTTCCTGCGAATAGTTTTTTGTTGTTATTTTCTTTGACGCGGAAAAAAAAAAGAAAAATTAAAGAAAAAAGTGAGAACCCTAGCGATGGAATTGGGGGTTGGGGAGTGGGAGAGGCGTGAGTAGTGGCACATGGAAATGGAGTGGGCATTGTTTGGGAGAGAAAAGGTTTATTTTACTTGACTTAAAACCCTTTTTAAAAGTTGTCTTTCAAAGATAATGAGGAAGGAGACCACTCTCTCCAATGCATTTGTTTTTGCTTTTTTTTTTTTTTTTTTCACTTTTGAGGGGATAGCTCATAGCGGCATAGCCGATACGAGGAAGGAAAGCGTCAAACACGACTCAATGGCTTGGGTGTCTGGGCCGGAGTTGAGTATTTGATTCTCTAACCTTTGCTGCTCTTAAGCACCACGTGGTCAGTGTACACTGCAGTAAGTACCAAGAAAAAGTAATGGCAAAAAAGATTGGGACCCACTCTTTAGGAAAATCTTTGCCATAAACTCTCTTCCTCAGTGGACTTTCTCTTTTTCCTGTTCGAGATTTCCATTAGCTTCTATTTGTTTCGCCAAAAATAATTTTTAAAAAATAATTTTCATATTTTTAAATATTTATTTAATAAAAACCTAGTTAATTAAAGAAAAATAATTTATTAATCAAAGGAAATTAAGACTATTTTTTTTAAATTATTTTATGGATTTAAAAAAAAGAATATATTTTCTAAAAAAAATATTTATCAATGTTTCTAAACATAATTCTACTTATAAATAATATTATATTAAAAAATAAATAATATTATATTAATAAATAGTATGCTATTAATAAATAATATATTAATAAATACTATAATATTATTATAATATATTATATTAATAAATAATAAAAGAATAATAAATAGTTTTATTTTAAGTATTTTTATATTAATATAATATTTTAATATTAAATATTATGATTAAAATATTATTATTTTTAAATATTAGTAATTTTAATAATAAATAATTTTAATATATTTTAATAATCATATTAATATTATTTGAAAAAAATAAACTTTTCAAAAAACAATCAAACAACGAAAAATATTTTTTATTAACTTATTCAAATAATAAAAAATACCTTTTAAATATCACAATTTTTATATTTATTAGATATTGTAAAAATATTTTTTAAATTTCGCATTGCAAAATTTATAAAAAAATATATTTATTAATCATAAAAAATATATTATAAAATTTTATATTATTAATCATTTATAAAAAATATTATAAATGTAAAAATTTAAAATTTATATGTATTAAATATTAATTTTTAAAAATAATTATATAAATTAATTGAATTAACAAAATAAAAACAACTTACCATTTGTATTTAACGGATTAAGATTTTTAAAAGAAAAACTAGTTGATGAATGTTGTTGTTTTGATAGGTAGTAATAAATGTTTGGTAAACTTACTCAAAATGAAAATATAAATTAAGGCATTTTAATTTCCACCTAAGTTGGTCCAAATAATAATTTAGAGGAATTTTTTTTCCTTCTTTTTCTTTCCATAGATCAATATTATCATTAATCTTTTAATATAAGAATTATTCAATTAAATCAATAGTTGCAACAAAAATTCTAATGCGTAATTGAGTATTTGAGTTGGTTCTAACATATTCCTTAATTTTAAAACATTTTGTTTGGCTTAAACTTTTTATATTTGCATTCTGAATAATTATTATAAAATAAAACTGAATAGCACAAAATTAATATTATAATTAATTTTAAATGAATAAATAGTTAAAATGTAATATCAAATATAACATAATTAATTTCTATATGAGTATAATCATTTTTTTTCATTTCAAAATTTATATATATTTTGATTATAACTTTTTTATAAAAAATCTTTATTTTTTGTAAAAAAATGTATTTTTTTCTATTTTCAAAAATAAAAAATAAATTGGAATCTAAATTTTAACCCTAACAAATGAAAAAAGTTTTAAAAAATAATCTCATGACATGAATGAAAATGATAAAATTATTGCTAATGGTGATAAAATAATAAATTTTTAATTTTAATAATTATGATTTAAATCAAATATAAAAAAAAAATCTACCACGACCATGGCTGGTGCTTGATTAAAAAAGTATAATTTCAAAAGGTAAATCAAAATACTTTGACAATATTGACATATTTTTCCATTTAAAAAATAAGTTAAGTGTTATAACGTATGAATTTAAAGAAATCAATCGTCGAACTTGAGGAATGAAAAATGTGCGAATTCAAGGAATTCGATCACTGGACTTAAGGAATGAAAAACGAGTGGGGGGCTAAAATACATTTTTGATAAAACAAAAAAAAAAAACAAATAGCCGTTGTAAATTCTTTTTAGGGTGTAATTAGCCATAAAAAAATTTTGTCCTTTTTATAAAACATATAAAATGGGTTTAAAGTTTTATAAAAGAACACTTTGTAGTCTACAAAAATAAAATTAGGTCCAGAAGTTGATTACGCGTTGAGATAAATTAACATCTTTCTAGTACCTGTTGAAGGTAGTATCAATTAATTATATGTTATTATTAGATTTTAATAAAAATGATCTTATTTTTAATGTTTAAAAAATAACTCATTTGTTTATTCCAACACTTGATTCTTTTTCTTTTCTTTTAAAAGCGAATCAAAATTTTTTTAAAAAATAAAGTATTTTATTTTTAGATCAAAATGAAAACATCTTAAGGATTGAGACACATCATTCGCTCTCTTATATTTAGGTAAAACTTAAAAAATATCTCTAATTTAAAGATTTTCAAATTGCCTAACAACATTGAGATAATACCTTGTATAAATAATAACCATTAAAAGTCCTTCTATATTTGACTAGATCTCAAACGTTATTTTTAATTGAGATGTCATTTTATTTAAAAATATTTTTCTTTGAAAACTCATTTTTTAAAACGTATCCATGATATGCATGAATATAATAACAATAATGAATGCATAACAGTTATATATGAATGACAATGTATGATTGCATAGTAATTTAAAAATGCATGTAATAATAAAATAAAATAAGATGTAAATACATAAATGGGGTCAAAGTTTGGTTTTAAGGTTTAGGAAATTAGTTTGGGTTTTTAAGGTTTATGGTGGTTTTAAGGTCTAGGCTAGGGTTTGAGATTTGATATAGGGTTTGGGTTAGCTTAGGGTTTTGGCTTAGGTCTTGATTTAGGATTTGAGGTTTAGGTTTAGAGTTTGGTTTTAAGGTTTAGGGTTTTAGTTTGGGATTTAGATAGTGATTTAGGGTTTGATCATGGTTTGGGGTTTCATGAAAAATACATGGAATAAAAATAAATAACGAGAATGTCATTGATAAAAATGTAATTATTTATGTATGGATCCAATGTGACAAAAATTACAAAAATGACATTAATGAAAATGCAAATTTTAATATATGGACCATGTATAAAAACAAACATATTACAAACTAATACATATTTACAAATATATTGCAAACTTAACATGCATATAACAATAAGATAAAAGTGGATCAAAACCAAAGGTTTTAAAATTTTAAAGACATGTTATACCATTTTTTTTAGAAATTCATATAAATAAACTAAAATCACAAAAAAGTCTAGTAATCTAGTATTTTTATTCATTAAAATTTTGATCAAACACATGAAAAACTTGAACAACAAACTAAAAACACAAGCAAACACATAGGACATGAACAACATTTATCCATCAAGAACAAGTGAGAGGTTCGGCCAAGCATAGGGAAGTTGGCCGAATGCTCCATTTGATCTTTCACAAAATTGCTATCATTTTATTTAGCATAATCATGTATTAAACATCAAAGTATTCATCATATGGAGGTATTTTTATCACAAGAAAATTTCAAAAAACGTGTACCAAACTAACAAATAAAGAATCCTTAAAAACAAAGATATTAGCCAAACATTGTATGTAATCTATCAAGACAATCACCAAATATGCATCAACTATACAATGCACCATTCCAAATATTCATTAACATTTTTTTAAGTGAGAAAAATAATAAAAAAAGACCATAAGAAGGTTCAACCATAAAGGATGGGAGCCTGGCCGAATCTCTCAATAGCTTTTAATAGTGGATTTTTTTTTGCTTAATTCTTTTGATTTTAATCCAAACTATTGTTTAGTTGGATGAAATATTGATTCAAGTTTGGATTAAAAGATATGAAAAACTATGGATTTCTCAAGAAAAATAGAAAAATAAAAGGCTAAATAATACAAAAAATATGGCCATACTATGGAATGCTATGAAAATACAAAGAAATGAAAGTAGTAAAGATTATAACTCTTTCAAGCTTCTCCGAATTTTTCTTTATTTTTTCATTTTTTTGCCATTGTTTTTACACCATTTTCTACTTTTCCTCAATTTTTAGCTCTAAATGGTGAAAAAAAAATCTCATGCAAGTGAATAATAACCCTTTGATTGATTTTTCATCTAATGGTCATTCTTTTTCCCTTGTTTTTTTGGCAATGAGCCATATTTCACTATTGGATCCAACCCTTCAAGATCATCCCATAGCTCAAAATGCTTATGATCAAATATTGCACTTTTAATGCTACCGAACTCATGTAAAAAGACCAATCTACCCATATTAGAAAGTTTTTAATTTTTATGCAATTTTCTTGGAAAATCATGATTCCTTTTTCATTTTTATTATTTTAAAGCACTAAAAATCCTCAAATAATATGAAATTAAAATCCAAAAGTTTTTGTCAAAATCTAACCTTAGGAATATCAAATTACGAAATTACCGTTAAAGAGTATTTTAGTAATTTCACACCTCTTGAGTGTAACCAAGGTTTTTAATGCACAAAAAATCATCAAATGATTTAATAACATGATTTGAAATGTTTTGCAAAAAACTAACTTCGAGAATGTCAAATTATAAAAATACATTTAAGGGTATTTTGGTGGATTTACACATTTGAAGTACGACTAAGGTTTTTAATGCACACAAAATCATGAAATAATATAAAATCATGATCTGGTGTGTTTTGCGAAAAATCAACCATGGAAAGGTCAAATTATAAAAATACTATTAAGAATTTTGGTAATTTCATACCTTTAAAGGTGTGATCAAGGTTTTTGATGTACCAAAAATTATAAAATAATATTTAATGATTTCAAAGTTTTCACGAAAATCTAACTTCGAGAAGGTCAAATTACAAAAATATCTTTGAAGGACATTTTGATAATTTTATCATTTTCAAAGCGTAATTAGGTTTTAGTGCATTAAAATTACAAATATCAATTTAAGCCCTATTAGTTCCATTTGGTTCAAAATTTTAAAAAATTGACCCAAATTCAATCTGATTTAACTGATTTTGATCAAGTTTGACTTTATTTGA